TCGTGGTTATTAACTTTTGAATGAATGAAGAAAGGTTCTAAATGTATATTCCATAGGTTTTCAATGTATCTCTAAAGYTTGTACGTCACCTACGTGATTTGCAATGCATTGTGGGATCATTCTGTTCCAAACGTATCCTACAATGCATTGCATATACGGTATGACGTTGGTCTAATTACATAAAGAAAATTCACCACTTTGCAGTTTCTCTAGAATACTCACTCTTTTGTTTCGATATCAAAGGTTTCTATCCATGTCATGACGTCACTATTTGTCCAGCCACTGATGTCGACTTTCGGTTTGGACTTTGATCCTGAAGCGTCTACAGTGTCAGATATCATTGCTGTAACATATAATAATAATAATATTTGGCTTATAAACATATACCAACAGTTTTTATAATTTAACAACAAATATTACCGCATAAGAAAATTCGAGTCATCATTTATTTATTTTGAACCAATCTCAAAAACCTTTCAGCAAGAGAGCAAGGAAGAAACAATCTTAGAGATTCAAGYGGACATTTAATTTCAATCATGTGCAACTTCTGAGAGTCATTAAACCCATAAAACAATAGTTATATATATATATAATATATATTTCACGGAGTTTTTGAACTCACTCTACGAACTATTAGGTAGYTACAGCTTAAGTATCATTCATGGATATACTGGAAGTACTCTCAGCAAACGCTCACTCATTCAAGTTTTCTAACTGTAAGCTGTGCGAAACCAGCTTCTCATCTCCTTTTGTCGGACAAAGTGCAAATCGACCTAATGCTAAATCACATCAAATTCTATGTGAAAAGGAAATATTCGAGAACAAACATGTTACTTTATATATACGTCTTTTATGCCTTTCATAAAACTCCAAGAATTCCTGTCTTCATATTGATGGTTTTCAACCATTCCCATGARAGTGAGCAAAACAAAAAGGTCCACCAGTCACGGTGGTGGTTTTCTTTTGTCAGGTCCACCAGCAATGGCGGACATCTTTTGTTTAACTTTCTCTCCTGGGAATGGTTGAAAACCATCAATTCATCATCTAGAATGCACTTACCCGTAACGGTCTGTTCACCTTCTTTTCCCCTTGTACCAAGTTCACGGATCAGTTCTTTTGCACTAGTTTCCAGTCTTCGTAGTCCTTGTGTGAAATCTATCCAGAGYTTTGAACCCAAAATCATCCCAAGCCATCCTGTTGGTCTATAGTTCTTTTCTAACATGATTGGAACGATGTCTTTCTTTAGTTGAAAAGCATATTCTGCCTCTAGAATGACGAGCGATATCATAAATTAATAACTCATGATCGGCGTAATACATCCATGGAATAGGTTTTCATAGCACATTCTCCATTGCTATATCACATCTTTCATCTTGGTGCTTTTATCAATACCACACATTCATTACTAGAATATGGACCGTTGGTAAGAATACATAAAACCATAGTTAATAGAGGGAGATGAGTCCCCTCTATTAACTATGATAAAACAGCTCAAGTCACATATGTAATGTAACTCAAGTGGGCAAAAATAAGGGGGCAGATCCAGAATGTCTCCCATAGGGCTGAACCATTAGTATATTAAGTCATATAATTGAATAACCTGAATCCGCCACTTGAGAAACCCTCAAATATGTGTATGTTGTGGACTATTGGGGTCCTTGTGTACCCATTGAACCCCCCCCCCCCTGGATCAGCCAAGGACATACACAATTTCCCTGATTTCAGCTAAATACACACCTGATCTACAATTCGCACTTTCTTTATATTTTTGAGATATACAAATAAGAACTACGGCCGAATTCTCCACAGCTTCTGCCATGGCTGCAAGRGTCGATCCTCCCATTTGTTCCAAGTCCATCCACACCCTAAAACCAGATGACTGCAGGCGGTTTTTGACTTGAATCATAAGTTTCTGGACATCCCACTGGTAACTGATCATAATGTGGTTTTGCATCGGCCCCTTTGACGCTAAAAGTACCAAAACAAAAAGTTGTTTACATAATCTTAAGTAGTTGCACGACTTGAGATTTATTGAATACTGGGATCACATGGTAATGACTAACTCGTACAGAAAACCTAGTACTTTCTAAGCACTCAGCAATAAAAGAGGCTACAAATCATTACTACATACCCGTAGACTCTTCCGATGCGTGACTTTGTTTCCCTTCTATTTCCCACAATGCACCATTTACGACCTTTGTAATCTGATTGTTATTATTAGATTTCATTGATCTCAGTAATTCCAGCAATCCCTCAGTTTCTCTCATCTTTATTCGGTTATCCTCGTCAAAAGCAAGTGACCATAATGCTCCTACAGCTTCAATTCTCTCTTCATCGTCATTTGCCGATGTTATCATAGACATAAGCACGGGGATTGCTCCGTGGGTGACAATCTGAGATAAAAATAATATATGCACCTTCTGTTTAAAAACTGATAAGGACCCTTCTTTGTGTACCACAACCCATTTTATTACGATTAGATTTCTTATTGGGGGGATATTTGTAGTACAGCCCTTGCCTATCTCTTCCAACTGCTCGCGGGATCGCCGGGAAAAGAGAGTCCAATATTACTTGCACGCGCGTGTGGGGAACAAAACCTATAAGTGTAAAGAAAATAAATTTGAAAGCCCGAAATTTATTATAGCAAGGTCACTCAGCTGAAGCATAGGTTATACTCGACTCTCTTTTCACCGCGATTCCGCGAGCGGTTGGAAACAAGAGGCCAGGGCTGGACTAGGGTATAATTTATAACAACCGTTCCATTGTTTTTATCTTTTGTTTCTATTGAATTACGTAGTCTGTGCTTCTGTTATCGCTCCGGTACACAGAAAAAGAACCAAAATGATATTTTGACAAGAAAGTCAAGTGGAAATAGAATTCTGAACCCTTTACATCGCTACTTGATTTACAATGCATTGTGGGATCAGTTTCTGGAGAAAAGAAAATCCGCCATGTTCTGTCACAAACATGTCCTACAATGCATTGCGTACAAGGTACATGACGTGAAAGCTTCAGTTCTATTGCCAACACATTGCTACACATATCAATAATTGTTCGTGAAGGATCCTTGTGTGTGTTTGCGCTTGCTTTGCCAAATCTATGCCATATATGGAAATAACAGGATGGCCGATTGTTGGAAAGTCTTTTCGCTATTATATCTTCGAGCTTCAGGGGATTTAAAGATATCAAAGTCAAGAGAAACGACATCAACTTACTCCTAAATAAGGAAAAAATTACCATATATGGCTGCAGAAAGAACAGCAAAGGCAATAGTCTCATTCACGGTTCCTTGCGCCATCTTTGAAAGATAGCGGTGCCTTTTGCACCGAAGTGAACATGCATCGAAACCTTTGCTCACATCTATAGACAATAGCCGATTTGCATTATGGCGTCATTTACTACAACTACCAGAATGCTTTGCCAACTTTCTTTTGTACCGCAATTAGTGCCAAATGTTTTATTAATCTACAAGGGGATTAAAAATCTGAATAACAATGAAAATGCGCAAGGCTCTCTAGCAGTTGTAGTAAAATTACGTCATAATGCAAACGGCCTTTTATTCAGAGGATTCTATCATTGCACCCACAACGGTCGTCTCGCTTGGATGCAAATGCACGTCTACCTTTCAAGATGGCGCGTTCACGAGTTCCCTTTTGGTCCTGTTAGCATCGATGATATCATATTTTTGAATCGAAGGATGTTTTTACAATTAGGTGTATTCAACAATTACAAAAAAATCTAAGATTTAAGACTTATAAAAAAATCATCAACATTTACAAAAATGTTTTTGTACAAACCAATTTCTTGTTGTTGTCGTTAATTGAGATCTGCGCAAGACCATTCGCAATTTCGCTGCTTGAAAGCCCAATATGTCTTTTATTTTCTTTTGCTATCGCCTTTCGAAGGATTGATATCATGAATGTGATAGGTTCTGAAAATACAAGTCAGCGGACTCTGGTCACGTTTAAATTATCATAATTATCAAAATTCCGGGAGAAGACAATACAATCCTTGATCTCATGTATTCGAATAATGTGCTATTAATTGTAGCGAGAAAAACACATCATATTACCCATGATGCACCCGATATAATGATGTATGTTAGCGGTCAACATTTTTGCAAATGAATGAAGTGCGAAATTAAAGCTTCCCGAAATTTTTGTTTGCGCTCTATTATTTAGTCTTACCTTCCTTGGACTTTATAAGTTCTTCATTGCTTTCATCGATGAGATATGMTAACGACAGAAGTGCTTTTGTTGCAAAAAATGCAATTGGATCTTCCAAATATGGAACAAGAATCCTGACCGCATTGCATGCGTGGAAATTAGCCCTTGTCGGTATACGCTTAGCCATATTATGTATTGTTCCAAGTGTCATAGAAAGGATAAGTCCCCTGTCTGTTTTCTTTTTTAAGTTGCCATTGTCATCCTAAAAGAAACAGCCAAGTAACAATTTTTTTATAAATACACAAGAGGATGATTGTATGAAGTGCGATGACTGGTTCCATCAATTTTTTGTGTGTTCCCCTTTCTAAAGAAAACACAAAAGAAATGAGCCACACAGACAAAAATTATATTACGATGTATTTTTTTTTTTAAATATGGGAAAAAGCTCGAAAGAGATGCTGGTGGACCATGTCCTTTAGTGACTAATCTAGCAATACACCTGGAATTCCTGGGCCTCAAATTGCCATACAATGCAGTATACGTAAGTGACTTTACGATTTGCGAAAGATTTGCGTTGTTAACCCCTTGGAACTGGAAAAACTGTTATCATGAAAACCTTCTTATTTACAAACAAACTTATGATCTGTAACTCTATTGTAACTTTCTTTATCTTAATTTTTACCTTTTTATTTGCGCTTGGAAAAAGTTATATAAGCGCTTTATAAGCTTAGATGATGCCAGTAATGCAGTACCAATTGAAACCTGCTTTTTGATTGCTCCTTAAGTACAGCACCACTATTGTTAGGTTAGCTTTTGTTATATTGTTGGAAGACTTATCTATTGTTTGTCCATTGTTTTCTCAACCTATCATGAGACCCGTTCCGAGCGGTGCTACCTGGCTCGATGATGTTGATGATGATGATGATTATTATTATTATTATTATTATTATTATTATTATTATTATTATTATTATTATTATTATTATTATTATTATTATTATTATTATTATTATTATTATGAGTGTTCATAACTTACCACCCATTTTAAGTGAAACTCTGTGCAATCTTTCAGCTGTTCAACAAAATTAACCCAGATAGGAACTAGACCAGCTTTACTGAAGGCAACCGACATAGCATCGCATAAATCGGTATAATTGACGGATATTCTTAGCAATGTCTGTAAAAATACTCTAGCTTTTTTCAACTCCTTTTTGGCCTTGTCGATATCTGGGTCCTGTTAGAAAAAGACAGAGAATTTTTTTACGCTATGATGCTTTGATGCTATGATGACTTTCTCAGTAAATTTCTTTATTTTATGCAACACTAATATATGAGATACACAAATAAGAGCCAACAATGACGAAAGGGGAATAAAGGAACAAATGTGAAGAAGAAAAGGAGAAAAATGTTAGGCTGGAGACAATTTATTATATAGTCCAATGATATAAATGATATATTTGCCATGATATACAATCAAATAACATATGCTAACGGCATTTGTGATTTGACAATTGCTGCTGATGTTTGAGGTTTGATTTCGGATGAAAAATCGCATTTAGTAAGGATATCAAAAGTAAATCGATTTTTTAGCAATAGTTTACGGAAAAAGGTGGAAACCCCCTATAACATCCCGACATGTGATAAGTAGTCATGGGGTTATGTGCGCGCGCATCTGTATCGCGCTCTATTATATTTAGCGTTTTCGTCATGTGTTTAGTTTTTCAACCGCCAGTTAATTCATTTGTATCACTAGTCAAGGAATAGTTCATGGTTCATGGTTTACGGAAATCGCGACTGAAAAAAATGCTGACGCAAGTTTATGATATATCTCCTGATAGTTCATAACAATTAACCAATCAGAGCGCGCGTTTCATAGTATCCATGTTTTAATCCCTGATGATGGATCAAATGATCCGTAAAAAAGCTCGGAAATTAAACATATACAAACGTAGATGAAGCAGTGTGTAATCGAGTCATGGGGTTGTTTAGTGAAGGTCCCGTGTAAATTAATAAACAGTTTTCAACTCACCGTGTTACCGGAATTTTTCTCACCACCAGACGCATTCGTGCTATCCTTGCTTTTTTCAGGGTCAGATACATTTGTGCTATCCTTGCTATTTTCAGCGTCAAATCCTGTCGTGTTATCCAAATATTTCTCTCCGCCAGAACCATTTGTGTCAGTATCTGCATTTTTCGCACCGTCAGACCGATTCGCATTATCCGTGTTCTTCACTCCGTCAGATTCATTCGCGTTATCTGCATTTTTCTCAGACACTGGTTCAAATTTTACCACAGACAACATATTAGGATATTTGGAAAGCAGTTTGTCAACAACATCTTTAYAAACATCTGCAAATCCAAGTTCCGCAAGTAAGTTTCCTTTTTTAATTCGGAACGTTTTCTTCACGGATTGATAAACAGATGATAKCCCTTTGACATCTTTATTTAAAGCATTTATCAAGTCTTCTTCCTCTTCTTCTATCTTTTCTCTGATAGATTGTACATGTTCGAAGATTTTAATAAACGTATCAAGCAAATCTGGCGTATTTCTACAATGCGATGCCAGGACAACATCGTCAAAGCCTTTGGATTTTAAAATTTCGTCCACATTCTCTGAAGTGACAGCTACATTTTCGTCGTTTGTTTTCTTTACCTCAGGTAAATTAGGTCCTTGTGGGGTATTTATGTTCTTTTCAGGCGAACATTCGACGTTGTTGTCGTCTAGCGAATCTTTGAAAGCTGTTTTTCCTTGTTGCTTGGTTCCCTCTTTCTTCGCTTTGTTATCATTTTCAATTACGTTTTCCGCCTGATCTTTAGGAGCAACCTGTATTACAGTAGTTTTAGAACCACCAGATCCCATAGTAGACAGCCATATAAAGTGTTTTTATAGGGTTTTCATTGCCCGCTGTAGTCAATAACTATTTTAGCGGCTGTTTGGTCAAAAACAATAGCGCTTCCAAAATGCAAATTACTACACAAGAGAAAAGTCCACACGTAGCATACATTAAGAAATCACTCATGAATACATTGTATCAGAAACTTTTCAAAAAAAACATGTTTGAAAGGTACCGGAAAGCTGATGAATATGATTACAAGTGCAAATAAAGTTGAAATTCAACAACAACTGAAATATGAATAGAAAAACGTTGATATACGGTATTTCTAACAGAATTTATCTGATCGGGCTTCCTGTCTTAAGGAGTGAGCTCTCAAAGTGTGTATATATATAAACGTCYATAATTCAATAAGAATCAACAACAAGATTAAAAGTTATTAAGCAAATTGAATCACAAGCAAGAATGATAAACAAAGTTATTTTAAAATTTCTTTGATTAAAATTAAAATACAGATTTTAACGTGAAACAGTCGTCCGAAACGTCAGTAAGTTATTTCACCTACTTTTTTACGGTGTTTAATTTATCTTTTTACAGAACTGTTTCTTAGAAACACCGACACAGCTCACACTAGTTTACTACTAGTTCTCACCAATTTGTAACGTGAAGATCGATTGGTCTCCACTTTTCGACGATTTTGGTAGCCCAGTATATAACTCAAACCAAAACACATATTCATATGATAATATAATACTCTGAAGTTGTCACGTCATATACCGTATACGCAATGTGCCGGATTTGTTTTGTTTTCTTGTCATAATCAATTATGTTGATTGTACATAATATTGCATGAAAAAAACTGAGACTAATCCCACAGTGCATTGCAAATCAAGTAAAAGCTTCAGAAGTCTATTTAGAAAGAGACAGAGAAGGAATCTATATATGCAACCCCCTCCCCGTCCAGCTCCTCAAAATTTCTGGATCCATCTTATTTGCTAATCTTGAGCTCAAACCCTGATTTTTAGACTCCGAACACTCTCAAATTATAAGGTTGCAGGTTTTCGTTGCAAATGTTCACTGTTTGCTCAGGAATTGCATCGTCAAAATCAGCTCTGTAAAGCTTGCAGCTTTGATTGACGAGAACAAAAACAAATGGCACGTGACCGCATAAAATGATCCACCACTGGAATCTTGTATTGATTTTGTCTTCTGTAGTAGAATTTATCTAATGCCCGGGGCGGATCCAGGAGGGGTAGATTGCGTGTCTAGCCACCCCCTCTTTTATTTGAAAAAATATATAAAGAATAAAAGTTTTGAAAAAAGAAATAAGTTAACAGGATTATTGTATAACGGAAAATATGTATAGTTACTTCGAAAAAAATATAGAGTGAGAAGAACTGTTTGATGTAACTGTTGTTTATATATCAATAAAGTATCTTTCATATAAAAGCTTGTTGATAAGTCAGAAATATTATAGTGTGCCCGAAATAACGATAAACGATAATTTCACATGAGCCTAAAGAGTCAAATTAATTGTAACGTACTTTAATATTAAATTTTAATATTAGCCACCCCACTCTGAAAAATCTTGGATCCACCACTGAATGGCCTTGGGTTTCGAAGTTATCCTGCTGTTCTATTCCAGCTACAACGCTATTCTCTTCCCTAATGGCATTATCTGTTCTGAAAAGTGGCATGTATAGTCAATARTAGAAAAATACTTGCGAAAGTATATTTTAGAAATAATTTCTAATAAAATGTTATTATTCAACTGATCATCGTGCCTAGGAAAKCTGGTGCAGCTGGCTAGAACGGGCTGCAATTGGTTGTGCTTCGGCGTACATTTCAGAGGCGGCGGAAGAGGGGGACTGGATACAAGAAAATGAACAGTACWTACTACATGAACAATCGTTGATATTGCAAAACTAGATAACTTCGTTCCCAGGCCCTTATCYCTTTGCTTGGGATCAGGCGGTAAAAAAGGGTCGTTTCACGCATGACTCCAAGTGAAAGGATAAAGGTCCTKGGAACGAACTTGAARACTTGATAGAAATGAGACAGAGAATTTTAATTGTCTATTCTTACAATTTCAGTMCAKGCGGGAGGGAATAGACTCGTTCCTATAATAGAAAACAATAGAATAAACAATCAATTTAAACATAGTTTCGAGGCTATTTCCGCCAGAACTGGCCCAAATTTCCGTTGTCCCTGATCCCTTATTCTCACTGTAAACTTGCTGTGAAGTCATTAGGAAAGATTGAAATTCAGAATGAATTGAATAGCTTAYAATAACCTGTAACAGCTGTTCTTGTACTAAGACATATTACAAGTCCGTGAAAAATAAACACACTTCGCCCACTAGCTAAATAGTTCAGATCATGCTTGAAATAACGTGTTTCAAACTTTGCTGTCTGAGAGGTGAGTGTTTTAAAGCCGTCGTTTTTCGTGGGTTAAAACAATTGTTAAAAGCACGCGCCCACGCCTGTCTAACGCAATTTCTCGAACTTAAAGTTTTGTTTGGTTTTTAATTGTTAAGTGTTATTTTATGTTGCAAAGGACTTAAAATCGACCAAAGMACTCCACTAAAAGTTTTCTTYGCTTAGCACCTGATGATATGRACRCAAAGCTCSCATTTCTATATATTTCTTGGATTAGAACTCAAATCAGTTTCTAAAACTGTTGGTGTAATTTTCTTTCGTGATTTTTAGATAGTTATAATTGCAGTTATAGCGTTATTGATAGATTAATACATGATTTATATAATATTTGGTATACTATATTTAGTATTATTACGAGCTCTTTGATTGGTCAAGAACCGTGTGTCATTAATGTACACACGCACGGATGTCCCCATTAATCTTACGTGCGCTCTGATTGGTCCGAACCAGTGCTAACGCTCTGTAGTGCTCGTTCAAAGGTTTCAATGAAATTACGCGAGCTCCAGAAAAAAAATTAGAGGAAAAATGATAAAAAACAAATCGATTCCATGCACTTTTCCGTCCGTCTGTACTCTAATTTCGTCTCATGACGTACTTTTGTTTTCATCAAGTTTTGACGTCCATCTGCGTATCTATTTGTTAAATGTCAATAGTAATGACATATTATACATAAGAACAAAAGTGAATTCACTATATCTTGGAGACAGTGTGTAATTGTAAAAGAATTAAAGTCATCAAAATTTTTAATACAGGTTTTACACAACTGCATTTGTAGAACACATTATTATATGGRTAGTAGTGTTTTACCGGAAACTAAAACACTCGTATTTTCCATATTTTCACTTGTGAAGATATGAAAAAGTTATGTACCAAAATGTCCCGGATGTACGCGCGCATCATATATATATTATATATATTTTAGAGTGGACGCACTAAATTCGTGAAAAAAACTTATAATTATTAAATAATTTAAATCAAACAACGCAAAAAAGGATTTGGCATAGAGTGAGGTCATTAAACCCGTGAAACAAAACTTGACTTATTAAAGTGTGATAGTCAATTAGACAGAAAAGAAAAAATATACAATTAGAGAGTGTGCTAAGATGTATTAGTGTAATATCTATTCCACGAGTTTTTCGATTCCACTCTAATCTAGCACTCATTTTGTACTATTTCAATTGGAGGAAACGTGCTCAGTTGAACCTTGAAATTAAATCGAAATAGTTACTATTGAATAGCCGCTCTTTAGTGACTAAATGTTTCTCATTACTGATCCAGAAAAGACAACAAACAAATTAAAGAGAAATACACAGGAAACTCAGGACTAGTGTCCAAAATCAAGCCAAATCTTCCGAAGCGCATTGTTCCATTTTTCTAGTTTCCTAAATGGTTATTTCAAGGTTGAAGTACCATTTCCCAACCACACACCCCTCCCCCCCCCCCCCCCCCGCACTACTTACCAAAATATGTACATCATAACGCCTCTGCTAACATTAAGTGTGAGCACTTGAGAGCTCAAGCACCTGTGCAGATAAAAGCTCTGCTGATTTTTCTTGTGGCAAGTGAGACGATCGTCGTTTGGGCTAGATAATATTTAGCAGCTAATTCTCTATAGACGGAAGATGCGTTCCTACATTATTTTGGGAATTTCTTTCCTTCTTGGTATATCGGGTAAGTATGGACAGTTATAAGAAGGTATCTTTAAGGTATAGTTCAAAGCAAAGATAGTCCTGACACTACATCCTCTASAAACAACCTGACAAATTGTTTGGGCTTTTTGACTTACGGACACCACACATGCATACATGCACAACACCCTAGCCSAGAAGAAAATAATCAATTTTTTACTAAAAATAAATGAATCCTCTGCGTTTACATGGTGTATTAATACGACCGAGCTTTCGGCCTAAKCGSCCATTATCAAGGTAGAGTAAAAAAAATCTTACTAAAAATCTTTAAAAAAATCTTATTAAAAATCTCTACCTTGATAATGGGCGATTAGGCCGAAATCTCGGTCGTATTAATACATCATGTAAACGCAGAGGATTCATTTATGTTTAGTAATTATGCCTGAGTACAAAGAAATTCTAAATAAWTTTTTTATTCTTTTCCGTCCAGTGAATTTCTGGAATTGCTGACAAAAAATAATGCGGGAAGCACCGTTTTTTTACAATATATTTTTTATCATGAAGTTATATCAAGATTGTAATAGTCCAGTATTCGAAATACTTTGTTTGCTACAGACTTGTATTGGAGGACTCTACTATAACTCTCTCTGTTTAGCAGATAGGAGAAGATTGTGTGTCACCTGAAGTTTTGCTTTTTTTGTGGAAATTATTGTGGGCTGAAAATTGTGTTTATTTGTGTTGGCAAAACTTTGACAGAAATTGAAAACACAGAAAAGAAGTTTGGATGCTTTTAGCATGGACGTTAACTTTAAACGTAGATTTTGGCTGAGTTTTAACGAATCATCCCASAGTAGTTGTATGTACAACTGATGAAAAAAATTACCAACGCGTCTAATTATTCAATTTGAGCATAAATTATAGTGTGTTAATTAAACTTTCTTTTTTTTAATATTTCATTTTGCTTCTGTCAACGATTTTGAAAACAGGCGTATGGRCACATTTTTTGCAGGAGTTCCAGTCCAGAAGACAGCAAATGACAAAACCTACAAAATGTTAAGTAAGTGATTTTTGTGTAGACCTTTAAATATATTTTTCTCAAATTGAGAATAGGTGTAAAGATACCTAAGGAATTAATTAAAGTCTCTTTTATTGCTAAAACATGCCCATGATACGGATTGAACAGATATATAACTTTAACTATCTCACGCCTTAGTTCATATTTTTTTAGCGATTTTTAGCAGGTTTGGTAATTGTAATGTTAAGAGGGTCTCAATGGGGTTAACCGTGAGCCGTGAAACGGCTGAAAAATTAGCCGTTAGTCGTGAAAATGCGAAAAAAATAGCCGTGAGGCGTGAAATTTTTTTATAGCGTGAGCCGTGATTCAGTTTTGTCCCTCAGAAGGACAGTCAACTCCGATGCAGGCACGCGCTTGTAATTTT